CCCTGATTCATCTCACAGATGTCATCTCCCTAGGAGCTGACTTGAAGGACAGAGGGGCACAGAAAACTCAATCTGGGTAGCACCTGATTCAGAAAGAAAGGAGGAGGAAATTTTATGAACTGGGTTGGATGGATGCAGGGAATATTATAGCTTTGCAAACCCAATGATCCAAGAAGTCAGCACCATGAACCACAGTGTTGCTGTGGCCAGGAGCACGAGGGCAAGCCTTTAGGATGCCTTTATGTTTCCAAAAGGAATCTTCCAAAATTAAGAATGTTTTTACATTGATACTTCTTCAGTTGTCCTTACCCATCAGGCCTGACCAACCTCTGAGGGAGAGAAGAAGATGAGGAGAATGTTGTATTTAAGACATGTAGATGTGGCACTTGGGGACACGGTTTAGTGGTGGGCTTGGCAACAGTGGCTTAATGGTTGGACTCAATGACCTTAAAGGTCTTTTCCAACCTAAACTATTCCATGATTCTTTGCTGTGGCTGTGGGTGTCCCCACAGCAGTAAGCACAGACGCACTGTCAGGATGTGCCCAGGGGAGCAGCACACCCAGCACCCATGCTGAGCATACAGCTGGGGAGGGCAGAGAATGGATGCTGCAGGAATGATTGGACACAGAGTCTGAGGACATTGCTCCCACCATCACATCCTTTTCTATGGCCTGGGCAGCAAAAAGCAAAGCTCCCCATGCCCCTCTACTGGCAAGAGGTGAGGTGTATTCAGCCATTGAAGTAGAGCATCTTGCCTGGTTGTGTCAGGGGACTGTCCTTCCCTCAGCCAACATAGTCTAAATGGCCTCTCTGAGCCAGCCAGATAGATGTGTTCCATTTTAATCCTTGTCTGTCTCACTCTGCTGAGATCATTTACCTGCTGATAAGCTCCTGTGGTCAGAGATAAAAGGTGAAACTACCAGCCCTTTAAGGATGTATCTGAACATCTTTGCAGCACTTTGCTTCATGAAAAATATGGAAAGATGTTTCATTCATAATATATCACTCATATCTATGTTTGTAAACAGATTTGTCACACCATCTGCAGAATCGTACTGCTGTCTCCTCTCCTCCATATTAATTTCCTTTCCATTTATATAGTACAGCTCCTATTTATTTTATTCCCTTTTTACAATTAGATACATTAGGCATCTCTTTTTCTTCCCTACAAAAAGTGTGCACTCTCTGTGGGGAAGAATATTTAGTCAATCCGATTTTTTTCAGTCTAGTGCATAAAAACACAAGCCAGGACTGTTTGGAGAGGTACCTGCCTGGTTCTGTTTCTCATCTCTTCACATCTGTGTGGAGCAGGTGGGAGGGAAGGATAATTCAGAACAAATGCACTGGTAAACAGGATGCTCTGTCCGTATTTCCTGTCTCCTGTTGCACTGGTGGAGCTTAATTTTCAGGAATCAGCTAAGCCTCAGGTCAGTAATGCTATTATAATTTCTCTGACTTGCTGTAGCTGATACAATATAATACAATACAAATACAATATGGTGAAGTATTTATACACCTGGGAGCAAAAAGCCAGCCTGCTTTGTTATCTGATTTGATAAGAAATGTTTAGACATGCTCAAATTTAAAAAGTGATTTGCTGAGTATAAAAAAGAAGTCACACAAGAGAGAGGAAGCTTGCAGTTGGCAGCCATTTCTGCAGCCCCTTGGGCTGACCAGCACCCAGGTCAGATGGTCCTCAGCACTGCCCTCACCAAAGGTCCAGGCACTGGGAAGGGGTGGCTGGGCTCAATACACATCATGGAGCAGGATTTGACAGGTCTGTAGGAGCACCTCTCTGACCCCATGACTGTAAATTCACTGTGGTGAGAGGTTTCAGACACTGCCTCATCAGTGACCTGAGGCAGGGCACTCTCGCTTCTCTCCCTCCAGGGAGGGAGGATCTTTCTTCTTCTTTGCATCGAGCCTAACCCAAATACCTGAGATTGGGTACAAGGGAGGGACTGGGGTTGACTAATCCAATAAGAATTTTACCAAGGGTGAGTAAGGGCTCTGGGATGCAGACAGCGATGACAAATCTTAGAAACTCAAGCCTGTGCTTTGGCAGGAGAGTTTGTTGTTTGGGATTTGGTTGGTTGGTTGTTTTTTCTTTTATGGTCTTTTTATCACTTTTCAGCTGTACAGTGTGTTCTCAGATGGTATATCCACAACTTCATGTTTTTCAATTGTGGCCATCATTTTTTTCAGCCAACAGAGTAGGGAACAACTGGGCAGTTGGCCAGCTCCTTTCCCATTGAAGCAAAAGGAAACTCTGCAAGAGTTTCTCCAAAGCTCTCTAAAGGGATTTTCTGTCGCCATATCCTGCTAACTCCTCCACTCCTCTGACCTCTCAATGCAGACTTTGAAGCTGTGAGCTGAGTGCCCCTGCCAGAGAGTCCCACCATCACCTTCTCTCAGGGAAATTGTTCAAATATCCTGTCCCATCACGCTTTGCATCTTTCCAAGAGGCATGTTTAGGCCTATAATATCATGCCTAACACAAATCAGTGAGCAAACCCTTTGGCTGTATATTTGCCAAGGTGTGACTGCCAAAATGGGTTTCTGGGTAAAGCAGAAGCCATGTGGCTCGGCTGTGGGGAAGCAGCCAGGACCTTTCCCAACAGTACAGTCCCCAGGAAAAATCACAAGGTAGGCTTTAAAATGAGATTACTTCCAACCATGTGTAAATGGTCCATCCTTTGTCTTGGCTGTCTGGCAAATAAAACCTTCCAGAGATTACTCAGTTTAGATTTTTCCAGCCTTTTCTCTGCAGGGCTAGAAACCCTTGTGCTGGAGCTGGGAAGGAAAAACAAGACTCTCCCATAATCCCTTCAGTCCCCTAAGTGCTGAGTTTTGGGCACCAATTGGCCCCCAGGTTATTTTGAGCCCTGTGCAGGCTTAGCAGCCCAGGGGAACAGAGGTCCTGGGGGCATGGCAGGGAGGAGAAGTCGCGTCCATAGATGGCTTTGGGTCCACCAGGTTTATCCCCTTCTTGTTGGGCAAACTGTCATCTCTGGGAGCAATTCAGCTTTGAAACGATTGCATGCAGCTTTGGAAAGGACTTGCATTGTATAACTTAATCACTGTGGGTCTGAAAAATAATAATCCTGCCTAAAACCATAAAATCTGGCATCAAGAGTTACACTTGGCCTTACAGTTTCTCTGTGCTGAATCAGCTCCTGACCCTCCTTGCTGCTATAACAACCTGGCTGAACAGGCCATTCCCTCCAGGGAGATGAGCCATTGCAGCCTGTAGTGGGTTGACCCTGGCCAGATACCAGGTACCCACTAAAGCCGCTCTCATTCTCCCTCTGTAACAGGACAGAGGAGAGAGAAAAAAAACAGCTAAGAAAAAAAACAGCTAAGAGCTGGGAGAGGTCAGTGACTGATTACCTTCACGGGCAAAACAAAACTCGAAGTGGGGATAGTACTTATATTTATTACTAACAGGATAAGAGCCAAAGAGTGAGAAATAAAACAGTCTTAAAAGCAGCTTCCCCCCACCCCTCCTTCCATGTTCTCCCTCCTCCCCCCCAGCGGTGCAGGGGGACGGGGAATGGGGGTTATGATCAGTTGTTGTTTCTGCCACTGCTCAGAGGGAGGAGTCCTTCCCCTGTTCCTGTGGGGTCCCTCCCACAGGAGACAGTCCTTGATGGACCTCTCCAGCGTGAGTCCTTCTTTCAGGCAGCGGTTCTTCCCAAACTGCTGTCCCGTGGGTCACTCCTCCATGGGGTGCAGTCCTTCACAGGTGAGCTGTACTGATGTGGGTCCCCCACAGGGACCACAAGTCCTACCCGGGAAAAACCTGCTCCAGCACGGGCTTCCCTCTCCATGGGCTGCAGGTCTCCAGCAGGACCCCACTCCATCCTGGGCCTCCCATGGGGTCACAATCTCCTTCCTGCATCCACCTGTTCCAGCATGGGCTCCTCCATGGGCTGCAGGGGCACAGCTGCTCCACCATGATCTGCACCAGGGGCTGCAGGGCCACAGCTCCAGTGCCTGGAGCACCTCCTGCCCCTCCTTCTGCACTGACCTTGGGGTCTACTTTGTTGTTCCCGTGTTCTCACTACGCTCTTCCCTGGCTGGAATTTCTTCTGCGTAACAACCTTCTGTTCTTAAATATGTTATCACAGAGGTGTTACTATCACTCCTAATTGGCTCGGCCTTGGCCAGTGGCAGGAAGTCTGTCCTGGAGCTGTCTGGCATTGGCTCCATGGAACAGGGGAAGCTTCTAGCAGCTTCTAACAGAAGCCACCCCTGTAGCCCCCTCCCCACCCCCCGCTACCAAAACCCAGCCACAGAAATCCACTATACTGCTCATCTCCAAAAAGGTGCTCTGCTGTTTTCTCAGCCTCCCTCTGCCATCCCTGCACTCACAACCTGTCAGGCTCTCACATTATCATGCACAAACACCATGTTTGCAAACATATTTGCTATTACAGCAGACAGGAAGTGATTTAAGTGAGTGCTATAAAATTAACCTCAACATCAGTCAAAAGAAACAAAAGCAAAAGAGAACAGGGTGATTAGATGCTCTTATGAGCAGGATATGCTCAGAATTACTTCTCCATCCCATTACAAATGCTTAGAAACTGCACAGCCTCTCCAGCACAGTGAGATTTTAAAGTGGTTTAGTGGGCATTAGGAGTTTAGAACTGATAATGCCACTTCCAACCTTATCCTTTCACTGCATGAAAATAGGTGGTGGCTATTGACTGGCCTAAATTGGCTAGTTTTAAAGCTGTATTTGCTGGCTTGGATGTGCTAAAAGTCTCTGTGCAGAGTTTTCAGAGCCTGAATGTAATGTATGTGTTTAAGGTGGGGATATATTGAGTTTCTTCAATAGAGGGCTGGTTCCAGTGTGTTCTCTACATGCTGAAGAGCTGGGACCTGCTGTAGTTGGGTTTCACATCCTGATAACTGGAGAAAAAGCAAGACTACTGGATGGTTTATGCTCAGTCCAGACAAACATCTCACTTTGTCTCTTCTTTTTTTCTTTCAGAACAAACTGTTCACGATGTCAATCAAAAAGGAAGGTGCCCACAAGAAGTGGGCTGCCCTGAAGGAGAAACTCGGAGCCCAGGAGACTGACCAGTCAGAGGCCAACCTGGAAAATGCAGAGCCGGAGCTGTGCATCCGTCTCCTGCAAATGCCATCGGTGGTGAACTACTCTGGGCTGAAGAAGCGTCTGGAGAACAGCGACGATGCCTGGATGGTCCAGTTCCTGGAGCTGTGTGGGCTGGACCTTCTTCTGGAAGCCCTGGACAGGCTGTCTGGGCGAGGAGTGGCCAGGATATCCGATGCTTTGCTTCAGCTCACCTGCATTAGCTGCGTGCGAGCCGTCATGAACTCCCACAAAGGCATCGAATACATTGTGAGCAACGAGGGCTATGTCAGAAAACTCTTCCAAGGTGAGAAGACATCTTCCTGCTTCATTCATCACATGGCATGGTGGGGGGACTTCCTGTTGCTTATCCTTCTGCCCTGTACCAGGCTTGTTGGAAATTGTTGGTTGCAATGGACTAATGAGATTGTTTTCTTCTTTAAAATAATACTACCATGAAATCACATTGCCTTTGCCACCCAGTGCTGTTTCCACACAAATATTGTCATAGTTTACTGAGAGAGCTGGGGATAAATGCAGCCTTAGCTGTGTGCAGGCATGACCCTTCAGTTGTCAGCAGACATTTGCTATTCAGGCTTTGTGAGCCCCAAGGGCAGAGAGAGAGGAATTGAAAGGGCTTGGAGTCTTGTAAAGAGGAGGGAAAGTGGCATGGTTTAGGCTCAAGAGAGCCTGTTTTCTGTGCTGCTCCATCTCTTCCTTCTAGAAGATGGTAGGTAACACCACTTACATTCTCTTGCCATTCACTTGGCTCGTCGTTAGGTATGAAATGCATCAGGGCATCTCCTAGAATTTTTTGTACAGCACTCGATGGTGCTGGTGCCAGAAGGATGACTTCTGTGCTGCTCCACGGAGATCACAGCTGCACCCAGAAACCTTTATTAATATCTTTTTGAAATGCATTTAGTCTGAAAGCTGTCTTGCTCCCCTCTTCAGTTTTGAAGTCCCCTTCCTTCCTCTTCACGCTGCGTTTTCTTAACCTGTGTGAAATATGGAGCTGGCCTTTTTATGCTGTGAAAAACAGCGAAGTATCCTGGGCTTTTCAGTGTTCGAGCTTCTTTGTGTACTAATAAAGGAAAAATAAGATGGTCTAATCCACTCCCTCCCAGCTCCTAGGGCTCACAGAGAAAGAGTAGTGGAAAAAGGGAATACATGGGGACTGGTTAGAACAATTGGTCTAATTGATATGCATATTGGTCTCTTCTGCACTAAAAATAAGAGTCATTAATCGAGGAAAATGGTTCATCTGCTGTTCTAGAAAACACCCATATGCGAAAATGGGAATTAAATTGTGTGATTGTCAGCGTTGAGATCTTGGCTGCTGTTTCAGCATGCCACTGGGACATGGAAGAGATGAACAACTACAGGCTGCACCAAAATGCCAATAGGGTACCTGTAGCATTTACTGTTTCCACTAGAAGTTACTATCACATAATGTTATTGAGATGGGATATCTAGACACTGAGATATTTTTCTTCCCATCTTCCATGTAGTGGGTCCCTTCCTTCTGTCTTTTTTCTGCCACTGGTCATAACCCATATAGCAGAAGACACTGAGATTCAGAACATTATTGTAATTTTAAATTCTGCTTTGTTTTGTTCTGTTTTTCTTCCAGCACTTGACACAACTAATGTCATGGTCAAAAAGCAAATATTTGAGCTCCTGGCTGCACTGTGCATTTACTCATCAGATGGCCATGCTTTGGCTCTGGATGCCTTGGACCATTACAAGGCAAGTGTTGGGTTGGAGCAGGAGGTATGGATCAGCTCTGATCTATGCAGAAAAGGGTGGGAATGAAGTTTATTTTGCATCATTTTAGTAAAAGAAGCAGGAATTTATAAGGTGAAAACTGTAGGAAATTTGTCCTGGTCAGCATAAGTCTAGGGTGCTGGTCTGTGACTTGTCTGGATGGATGACTACCAACCACAATGTGCTTTCTGGCAGCAAAAGCACCACCAGATCAGCAAAATAAATGGCGCCACATTCACAGGTTTCACTGCCCAAGTGCACAGGTATATGCATCAGTTATCAGAAAGCATGAAGGGATCCAAGAGATGTTTCACTGACTTTCTCTGCCAACTGGAGCCTGCTCCATAATGGAGGAGTGCTGCTTTTACCTGTGTCTTCCTGTCCTGTCCACAGTGGGATAAACTGATGTTTTAAGGTGCTAATTCCATCTGAGAGCCCGTACCACAGTGATAGACATTTATGTCTATATAGACTATTCTTGTCATAGAATCATAGAATCATAGAATCAGATGGGTTGGAAGGGACCTCTGAGATCATCAAGTCCAACCCTTGATCCGCTACTGCTGCAGTTGCTAGACCATGGCACTGATGCCACATCCAGTCTCTTCTTAAAAACCTCCAGGGACAGAGAATCTACCATTTCCCTGGGCAGCCCATTCCAATGTCTGATTACCCTCTCTGTAAAGAAATTCTTTCTAATATCTAACCTAAACCTCCCCTGGCACAGCTTAAGACCATGCCCTCTTGTCTTGACCATGCCCTCTTGTCATAATATCACCTGTGTTATTAACAGAGTGTGAAGAACCAGCAGTATCGATTCAGCATCATAATGAACGAGCTCTCCAACACAGACAACGTGCCATACATGGTGACACTGCTGAGTGCTATCAATGCCATCATACTGGGGAAAGAAGAGCTAAGAACAAGGACACAAATCAGAAATGAATTCATAGGTAAGCATGTTTGTTGCACCTAACTTTCTCTGGAGAAAGTCAGTTATCAAGCAGTTTTTATTTCAGATATATCCACAAGGTGCCTGAACAGGTCTGGGGAGCAAAACTGCAAATACTAATTTTCCTCTTTCTTTTGACCTCTATTCTCAATAACCTTTCTGTCACCAGATTTTTTTAACTTTGCTGCTTTCCCATAGCTTTGATTTTTTCTGGAATCCCAGCAACACTATATCACTTGAGCTTCTTCAGAACAGTTCTATAACCAACCATCTTATATGGCCACATTTCCATATGTTGCAACTCCTTGTAACAGTTGATGAGGTTTCTTCACTCTGTGTCTACTCAGTTGAGCCACAGAAGCTGTCCCGTTACTCAGAAATTCTTTCCAACTGTTTGAATCCTGGGATCCTAATTACCATTGTTGAGATACACCTCACGTAATGAGAGCATCTGAGCTGGTGAGCCTGGGCTCTGTTTCTTTCTGTGTAGAGCAAGGGACATTGGACCATGACTGATTTTAGATATCTAATCTGGACTGAGGTCACTCATGTCCCAGAAGTGCCTGTGTCCCTCAGTAACTCCACGGGGATTGTGGTTCACACAGTTGCTGCAGATGTGTATTGAGGTGTCTCATCATTAAGCAGATGACCCTACCCACTTTGATAGATCCATATGAAGATATTTTCACTTTTTTCTCTCTGCAAAACGTATTTATAAGCATAACATTATATAAAGATCATAATAAATCAGTACCAAATGGGTCATAATGCAAATATATCTCTTTTTTTTTTTTTTTTGTGGTTCTTCCAGGGCTTCAGCTGTTGGATGTTTTAGACAAGCTAAGGTAAGGATCACTGGTTACATTTATTTTATAAGTGAGATTCACGGTCAGGTATCTGTGAAAATTTAATGCTTATAAACCTTCAGTTGTGTGAAGTGCAGTGCACCTGGTGGAGTGGACCACTCTTGTGTGCACCCCTTACAGGGGGACCAAAGGCATTCAGCCAGTGTTAAGATGCTCTTGCCAGCCACAGTGTCACAGGGACAGCTGTTGGCACAGATGGCACAGACAGAGGCTCTGGGCACAGATGGAGTAGCAATGTCCTCACTGAGGCTGTGTTCCAGACTGAGCCTGGAGCAATGCTGTGGGCTCACTGAGCAGCTCACTGTATTCAAAACCACTTCACTGCTGCTGTTGGTCCCAGAAGCATCCAGCTAAAACAATTTACTAGTGCATATCTGGGCATAATTTAAAAATTATGTTCTGTCAGAAACATCCATGATAAATTCTAGAATGCATTTTATGTGAGTTGCAGTTATCCATGTAACTCGAATTGCTCCATCCAACACCATAAAAATCAGGGAAAAGAAGACCTTTCGATAGTGCAGCAAGGGTAGAGTTCTTACACATAGTGGTTTTGAGAGTGTTGAAAAAGTTAGTTTTAGAGTATCTGGGATTTTTTTAATCCAATTTTGAGTAACAGAGAAGGAAGTTTTTCAAACAGAAACGTCACTGGAATATTTTCAATTTGTCTTGACTTTAAAAAGAAGAAAGAAGGTGGCCCAGTTTCAAAAAGGTGGGAATGCCACTCTGTTGTTACAGCTCCAAGGAGAATTCCATAGCAAGCATACACTGGGCCAGGTTATGCCATGAAAAGTCCCATTCGTTTGTATATGTTGACTGTAGGAAGAGGTATATTCAGTTCAAGAAAGGATGCACTGATGGCATCTGATCCTTTATATATAAGGCACAGTTGGGTGCTTCGAATGCTGACTGGCTGAGTCTGAGAGGCAAAGAGATAAAAACCATTTAAACAAAAACAATCATCTGAAAATTAGTGAAGGGCTCTCCAGTGAAAATGAGTGCTGTAATATTGCAGAGACATCGAAGAGGAGGATCTGCTTATCCAGTGTGATACATTTGAGGAGTTCAAGGTAGAAGATGATGAGGAATTATTAAAGATGTGTGATGGCATAAACATGAATGATCATCATGAGGTCTTTTCATCTCTCTTCAATAAAGTAAGTAGGCCCTCCCATGGGGTGCAAAGTCACACAATGGCAAAGTTGACCCACTTTGCTTGGAACCAGCCTTGCTGTGATGGAAAGCTGCCCTGTCTTCTAGGTGAGCCGCTCTCCGGTCTCCATCCAGCTGCTGTCCATCCTTCAGAGCCTGCTGCACTTGGAACCATCTCATCAGTCCAGCCTCCTGCTGTGGGAGTCCTTGGATGCTGTAGTGAACAGAGCCCTTTTGCTTGCAAATGACAGTAAGAATGACATATCCATCCAGCTTTGCACATTCCTCTTGTTTTACCTTGTCTCACCCAGAGCCCACAGAAGTCATTCCCAAATAATCTGGAAATAATCTGTGGGACTTGATATGAGTTGAACAGAAGCTGGGACAAAGCTACACCTCCTGTATAGGGTCAAGTCTTCATGTGAAGCTCCATCCATGTGGGATGGCCACGTTTAGGAGTGGGCTTCGGATTCACAGTCTTGCTTTCATGGTTAATCCCTGAGCTTTGGGTCATGGGAGTCATTGGGAATCTGTCCTCATTGGCATGCTGCCACTGGCACTGGCTTGTCTCGCTGGCAGGCTTTTTCAAAACAGTGTTTGTGGGCTGGGAGCATGGGAAGGAAATTGCCTGGAAGCCAAAAGTGTAATTGTGTAAAGTGACACCATGGAGTGGGCTCCGTGGCTCCAGATCTGCTGCTCGGTGAGGGTTGAATAGCACGAACCAGCCTTGGAGCCCCGTTCCCTTCTCTGACCCTGACTCCTTTCTCTAGTTCAAGGGAACACAGTTGAAGAAGTCATGGAGAGGTTGCTGTCTACCAAGAAACATCCAAACAAGCAAAAGCGAGCTGAGAACCGGCTGTCTGGGAGTGCAGCTGGAGGCGCCCAGGGTGAGCCAGAACCATGTGCACATGCAGCTCGGAGTCCAGTGGGATCATCAAACCCCTCCAAGGCACCGACAACGTCCTCAGGGCCACTTGCCAATGAAAAGAAGATCTCATCCTGCCAGTTCACAGGCTGCTCTGCTTTGCCAGAGATGTCTAACCCTCCACACAACACTGGTTCCACCCCGGCACCTCCACCCCCGGCACCTCCACCCCCACCCTCTGGCACAGCAGCCATGAACCCCACATCCCTGATGACAAATACACCTCCAGCCCCTCCACTCCCTGGCGTCCCTCCACCCCCACCCTCGCTGCCAGGAATGGAGGGTATTCCCCCTCCTCCTCCACCATTGCCTGGAATGGTTGGCATCCCTCCACCCCCACCCCCATTTCCTGGCATGGGTGGTATCCCACCTCCTCCACCCCCATTGCCTGGCATGGGTGGTATCCCACCTCCTCCACCACCATTGCCTGGCATGGTGGGCATCCCTCCACCCCCACCCCCATTGCCTGGCACGGGTGGTATCCCACCTCCTCCACCACCATTGCCTGGCATGGGTGGTATCCCTCCCCCTCCCCCTCCGTTGCCTGGCATGGGTGGCATTCCACCCCCTCCACCCCTCCTGCCTGGCATGGCAGGAGATCACATAGAAGCTGTGGTGGCCTCCCAGTTCAGCTGCCCCCTTGGCATGGGCCGGCCTCCCCACAAGGCAGTGAAGACGCCAACGCTGAGAATGAAGAAGCTGAACTGGCAGAAGCTGCCCTCCAACGTGGTGAGAGGTGGGTGGCGTAAAGTCACAGCTGCTGTAGGGGTGACCCAGGGGAGGAAACACTATCTTTGAGTTTGTCAAATGAGGTTGACTCCATTTAGATATAGAACTTTCCTGATTTCCTTTACTTTTGATCTGCAGAGCTTAAATAAATAAAAGTAGCGTGAAACTACTAGTATAATACAGTAACCATTCCAACTAAATCAGTACTTTGGGATAGCTTGTTTATAACTAAAATAGTTGGAAATTAAAAGAAAAGAAAGGGAGATGGGAATATTTTCCTAATCCACCATGACATGCCTTAGGCCTGAGTCCTCAACAGGCTCTGATCTGAGTTCCCCAAACTTTCATTCCCCACTTCGTCTATACTTGTATCTTGGAATATTAAAGTCATGAGTAAGAGTGCATTTGAGGATCACATCACATATCTCTTGATTTTTGGGTTACATTTCCCTCTCCTAATGGATCCAAAGAGGAGCATGAAATGTGAGAAGAAGCCAGGACAAGCAATGTCAGCTTAGTCCTATACAAGCAAGGCATCCAGTGCATAGAAGTAGGCAAAGGTGAAATCTAAATAAGCCATGTTTTCAATCACAAGAGCAGTAAGTTATTGGGATTATTTCAGTAGAGACTTCCAGAGGCATGTTAGGGTGCTGATTGTTTTTTAAATAGATTTTAAGAAAGTACAGTGGAAATTCATTCAAGCAGTCCCATAGCCAGCATTATACAAGAAAGCTCAATTATAAAATGATAAATGGAGAAGGTCAGAGTCAGAAAATGTCCAGGTTGTGCCCAGTCCCTCAGTTAGCACGCAAGGAAGCAAAAATAACATCAGCTAGGGGACTAAAAAAGAAATGTTCAAGCTCTCTCTTATGCTGACCCAGTTTGCCCACCCTGAAGGAAAATGCAGTTGTACAGAGAGGGATGGGGCTGTACAGCCTCTGTGTGCTCAATGCTGCCTCCCCTTACCAGCACATCTTGGGGTAAAGCACCAAGTTGAATTTCCCTTCAGGCCCTTTGAATCCCACGTGTGGGAATTGCCCCTCCCCAATAATGACCAGCAGTAAATACGCCCCTTCTTATTTCATTCATCTTCTGAGGAGTGTCCCTTCTAGCAACTCACTTTGCCCCGAGAGCCAGGAGTTTTCAGCTGTCCCTGTAGCCAGTCTGAACACTTTGTCTCTTTTTCAGAGGGTCACTCGATGTGGGCTTCGGTGAGCAGCAGCAGTGAGGAAACTATAGAGCCCAACTACACCAGCATAGAGCAGCTGTTTTGCTTTCCACAACCAACCCCCAAGGAGAAGACAGTCACCCCAGTGAAGGCAGAGCCAAAGGAGGTGAGGAGGTCCCACTCATTCTTTTGAGTAAAGATCACTGCAGACAGCTCATCTAACGTGAGATATCTTCTTTTTCTTTAATGAAGATCACATTTTTGGACTCCAAGAAAAGTCTCAATTTGAACATATTTTTGAAGCAATTTAAATGGTAAGATATGGCCAGTTTTCGTGACAGTTGACAAAACTTTGAGCAGGTTTTGCGGTACCTGGAAGGTCCTCACGAAATCTGTTCTAGCCAATGTGCTTTGGTGGTCCATGTTACTGAATCATCTGAACATTCCCCTGCTGGTCCTACACTGCCTTTAAAATACTGAGTTTAGAGGTTTAGTTATGTTTTTACATACAACATCCCCATATGTTGGCAAAGGCATTACATCTCCATGTTACAGATAAAGCTGTGGCACAGATTCTTAGGGTGACTTAGGCTGTGAGATGCATCTGGAAGTCAAATCCCTCCTCAAAACAGGTCCAATGGAAAAGTTAAGAATTAAATTTTCTCTTAAGAAAAAAAAGTGCCCAGAGACAGGATGTGAGTTGCAGGATTCATCTCTGGCCTGGAGTCATTTGACCAGGGCCAGAAGCAAAATTTGGGTCATAGCAGGAATCCAGATCCAGATTCTAATTTAATTGTGGGGAGGTATCTTTCCTTTTGGATTATTGCGACTCTCACTAGGGAAAGCACAGAGTGCTTGCACAGATAAAAGTCTTGGTAGTGTGTGATAGTGGAAGAGTGGTCTTTGGGTGATGGCTGCCTCTTCTCCTCCTTCCTGCAGCTCCAATGAAGAGGTGACTGCCATGATCCGGAATGGAGACCGGACCAAGTTCGACGTTGAGGTTCTGAAGCAGTTGCTGAAGCTGCTTCCTGAAAAGCATGAGGTCAGGAGGAAAATGGTACCCTTACCAAAGGTTCACAAAGCTGAACACACAGTGCAGTCCTGCAGTCTTAATTCTTTATTTCCCATTAGATAGAAAACCTGAAGGCCTTCAAAGAAGAGAAATCAAAGCTAGCAAATGCAGATCAGTTTTATCTTCTCCTCCTTCAGATTCCCAGGTAAAGATGTTGGTCATGAACTTCAGCCCAATCTTTTTCTTGGTTTACCTCTGGGAAGTTTAATTCTGTTTATAGGAGCCTGACAGACCAACACTGATGGGTATAACTGGTGGATTCCCTTTTCCACCTTAGAGCTGTCCCTTTCCCTGTTAGCCTTAGATGGAGGGCTTTTCCTGCTCCAGCACCTCCTCTCCCTCTGAAGTAGCAGAAGCTGATCCAGACGCAAGATCAGATCTGCCCGAGGAGGCTCCATAACTTACTGAAAGGCAGTGCCAAATGCAGTGCCAAGAAGGGGGAGCCCGCCTCTCACACAGTGGTCAGTCTTCTCTTTGCTGATCACAGTGTGTCAGCAGAACCTACATCCCCACTGGCCCTCAGGGCGAGAGGCAGCCCTTCGCCTCCCTCCATGACCCACAGACAGTGGTTTGATGTGGATGTGGTGGGCAGCAGTGCTGTGGGCTGGCACGGACTTGCTGGTGGTGTGGGAAGAGGGCTGCTGTGGTGGCCAAGATCCCAGTTCCTTTACACTGTGAATCAATCTCCGTCCTCAGCTATCAGCTGCGCATTGAGTGTATGCTGATCTGTGAAGAGACCATCGTCGTGCTGGACATGATTCAGCCTAAAGCTGAAGCCATCCGGAGAGCCTGCGAAGGTAAGTGACCTGAGCTTATTTCTGGATCTGATTTATGACAGGAAGCTTTAATCCCCACCCAAACTCCCCTGGAGCACTGCACTGTTAACCCCAAAACTGCCCTGGAGCTCTGCAATATTGCTACCCAATCCCCAAAGAACTCCCCTATGGTCCATTCACTGGTTTGTTGCAGCACATGAGGTGCAGCTGTAGGTATCTCCAGTGATGGTCAAGGCCATTAACAGAACAAAGATCATTTTCCCTTACCCTCAGCCCTCTTTTTCTGCAGCAGATGTATTCCTCTGAAACAATGGTGAAGCGCTGGAAACTCATCAGCCCTTTCAAAGGAGCTGAATTTAGACAGCAGAGCTGGCCCCATTGCAGCTAATTCATCCATCCAGCATTATTTGCCAAGTTAAGACTTTCATACAGCAATTTTCTCTGCTGCCAGAAAAGTCCACCCCAAACTTCCCTCAGAAAGTAGTGGTGCTTTAATATTTCCCTGCCTACAAATGGAACCAGAAGAATAAGCTTGTTATTTTGGGTTATAAAACTGCTGATGCTCAAATTTGGTGAGTACACGGGGAGATTAGGCAATAGGTTTTGGCTTCCTATGGCAGAAACCTCTGGTCCCACTCCACTGAGAGCAGGATGCTCTTCTTGGCACTGCCAAGTGTTACCTGTCCTACAGAGCCGGTTCCGCCAACTCCTGCTGTGGGTTTCTCTAGCTGGCATTACAGCTGCTTGCTGGGATAAACTGAAGCTCTCCCAAAAAGTGTCTTCCCAGCAGCCCAGTTGTCCTTTTGGAGCTGTTCTTGACTCAAAGCTGAGTGCTTCAGAGAGCACACCACTGCAGCACCCTGTCATAAGAGCGAGGACAGGGACTGTACCCTTCATGCCCAGATGATAATCACCTCCACCATGCAAGACCAAGAACAGGGTGAGAGTGTCTGGTTTTAGCAGCTGGCAGATAATCACAGGGCTGTCAGAACTAGCTTCACCGCACAGCTGAATGAAGTTGGCAGGATTAAATTTGCAGCCCAGTTACCCTCACCCACACTGGGGCACTTCCAAGGAAGGTGGTGAGTTGAAGCCTGTAAGCGAGGAGGGTCCAACTCCAGGTTATTTGCTGTTAGGAATGAGAGACCAGATTGAAGACAGAAACATAAGTCAACAGAAGCTTGTACAACTTGTGGAATTGAATCTATTTAAACCAGTTTCTCTGCAGGTTGTGCCACTGGGCTGCAAAGCTGAAATACCAGATTTGATTTGGTGGAATTCAGAATCCCAATTTCAGTTTAGGAAATGTTCTGGTGTAACAGAGGCTTTTACTTAAAAGTCCTTTATGTTTTTCAGATCTTCTGACCAGTCATCGCCTGCCACTCTTTTGTCAACTGATTCTCAAAGTTGGAAATTTCCTGAACTATGTAAGGGCTTATTTTGTCTTGCCCTCGCCCATTACAGTCTGTGATTGATCTCCTTTAGGGTTGTAATTTGGGTGGACACGAGTTACATGTGCTTTCTTTCTCTCTTGCAGGGGAGTCACACAGGCGATGCCGATGGGTTTAAGATCAGCACTTTGCTCAAACTAACAGAAACCAAAGCAAACCAGACCCGCATCACACTGCTCCACCATATTCTAGAGGTACCACTGCCAAGTCCTGCACAATAGGGAAGAGGGAGGGGTTTATTATGGATGAACCATTTCTCCCACTCTACTCCCAGTTAATGCCACATGCTCATACTCATACCCTCCCCGGCTACCCACAGAGTGTCACAAGTCAGGAGTGTTTGAATCACTTTGGTTGGGGGAGGTTGCCTGTTGTCACTACTCAGGAATCTCCTTATTTTAAGACTTGCTCTGCTTCCCTCCATAATCTTTCCCTACAATGTCTGGAACTTCCTTTTTCATATTTGTGCAATCTGCACATCAGCAGCTGCAAACCACAGAGCGTGTGACTATCAAAGCTGTCCTGGCTGCTCTGTACCCACTCAGCCTTTCTGCCTTTCCATGGCCTGTCCCTTTTCCACCAGATTATGCTCGAGCTTTTCATGCTATTTCCTAAGCCCCTGTGGCTTTCTTACTCCCTGCAATGCTGTTTTTACCATTTTTCTGAATGCTCTGCTCTGCCACTTTCATTCATCAAGGTCCCTCTGTTCTGGTTATGCATGTTCAAGCAGCACTTTAGCTGCAGTAGCTTCAGCAAGGACAGCTGAGAAAGTAAAGAATGCAAATAAGATTCAAGGCCTTTTAGTACCCTCCTGAGACTGTAGGAAGTGTCAGACTGCATCAAAGTCCTGCCTCCTCCCATCCTCAAGAGTAGGTGTCTCAAAAAAGGGCAAAAGAAGAGCTTAGCTTTGCTTTGAACTATGAGTATTTCTCAGGGTTCAGTGCTCTTGTATGTTTTTATAGCCCAGAGAGATGCTTTTCCTCTCCAAATGTGCAAACTACAGACAGCTGGGCAGCAGCAGGTCATGGCACAGTCATCCTTCCTGGACATTTCTGGCCGTGTTCTTTCCCCCCAGCTTCCCCTCAGTTCCTGCCACACAGCAAATAACTCTTCTTTCTCTCTTCCTCTTCAGGAAGTAGAAAACAGCCACAAGGACCTACTGGAACTGCCAAAGGATCTTGAATATGTTTCAAAAGCAGCAGGGTAAAATTGTGTGTCACTTCCTTTGAATTAAAAACAAAAATAAATCGCATGAACATCAACAATATACCAGAAATTAGGACACACACAGCTGGCATAGCATATTAACAAGATGGCATCTTATATAGTTTGAACCAAAAGATTTGGTTGATGAATGTTGAAAGCCCTTTAATATATAATAATTCTACTACAGCTGGCAACACTTAGGGCTGAAATTTGCAGAGCATTCAGTTAAAGCTGCCTTCCAGACCCTTCCAAAATATGCACTGCCTTTGTGGTGGCAGGAGCTTGTGAAGGCCAGCTACCCAGAAGCATTTCTGAAGTGCCTTCGGCCAGGGAAAGTGAGCTAATGCTGAGCACTCCAGGTGGATAACAGTTTTGTGAACAGGTGGACTTTTTTTGGCCTTCATCTGTCCAATACACAAAGTTTTAGGTAGACCTGACAGCCTTTCCATAAGGTCTGTGGAAGGAAGCTGTTTTCTGCGAGCTTGGACTGTACAGAGAGTTCAGAGCTCAGGTTTCAGTTCAGTGAAGTGGTGGGAAGCAGAGGGACATCCAAACCATGAGCTCAACTTGCCCACTCTTTGGTCAGCACAAGATGCTGGAGTGTCAACTAACGGTAGGGTTCTGTATGATTTCAGAATTAATCTTGATATTATACGCACGGAGTCTGGTACCAATTTAAAGAAGTTGCTGGAGCTTCAGCGGAAAGTCTTATCATCAAATGATGATGTGAAACAACAGTATGAGAAGCCAATCCAGGTCAGTAATGGAGCTCACTTAGGTCTCCCTCATTACGCACTCAGAAGCTGTGCATGGTACATTTGCAGCTGAGACAGGAGGGAAAATATTGCCACAAGACATGCTCTCAGATGTGGAAATAGGCTGCAATGCCACACAAACCATTGTTGTGCAGTTGCTAGCTCCACTCCAAAACTACATACCTTTGGTGAGGCCATTTCTTGAGGTGTATGTCCCAGCTGCTCTCTCCATGCTTTTGTGTAACTCCCCAGTTTAAGTGAAGATGTTCACCTGCTGTGGGGATCACCAGAGTAAAGCCCTTTGCTCAGGATTAAGCTCTGCATGGAGCTCTCCATGTCTTGCTCAAGCCACCCCTTTAAACTGGCACAGGATGGTTGCCAGGAGCAAAGATCATCTGGATATCTTCATTTCTTCCTACCTGTTTCCAATAAGCTCTGCTTCAGTTAAAAGCCAGGACCCAGAGTCCTGCTCCAAGCTCTTACATCCTTTCTCTGTAAGTGCACTTCACTCCTTGTCCTCTGGATGGTGTTTTACTGTGTGTGTTTAATGCATTTCAGGATAGCATCGATGCCTCCAAAAAGCTGGAAGAAGAATTTGAAACCATTGAAAGGAAGAGAGAAGAACTTGCAAATTATCTCTGTGAAGACCCAAGCAAGTTGTCCTTAGAGGACATATTTAGCATCATGAAGACCTTCAGAGATCTCTTCATCCGAGCTCTGAAGGTTGGAATGATGCTGAGCATCCCTAGTACTAGCACATCCTCCACTCCAATAGGCAGGGATGGGATGGGCACTGGAATCTGGTGGGGGGAAGATGCTGGTTATGGGCTCCTCCTTTTGGCACTTGGCATGAGGCACCCAGTGAAGCGCTGTCTTAACCCTTCTCCACTGCATCCTCGTGCAGGGGTGGTGCTCCTGACCTGGCCCCTCTCACCCTCTTGGCAAGACAGCCCTTATTCCCAATGCCCATTATATTTATTGCACAGGATAAGGCCAGAATTTTTCCTACTTCATCTATAGATCTTCTTTCTCTTCATCAGCTTCTAGCAGACACTTAGCCAACCTTCTCATGCCCCTGTTACCTCACTGCAGGAAAACAAGGACAGAAAGGAGCAAGCTGCCAAAGCAGAGAAGAGAAAAAAACAGCTGGAAGAGGAAGAGGGGAAGAGACAAAAGGGAGAAAATGGAAAAGTCAGTGAGTATCTGAAATGGCTTCAAAAAAGAGATATGGAGCCAAAGGACCTCTTTGCTGGTCCTGCTTTAATGGACCAGTAGAGGTAATCTATTTTGTGGGTTTCCAGGTGCCAGCTGACTAAAGGCTTTTAGGTGTCTTAGAGCCATAGCTAAGAATTGACTTTCTGCAGTTGCAGCTGGGCAGAGAAGTTAATTTTAGGTTTGCTGACTGAACAGCAGAAGAAAAAAAAACACCACAAATTAAAACATTTCAGTTAACTTTTTCAGTTTCTAAACATAACTTTTGAATACCAAATCTAACAAGAAATTTGTCTTCTCCTCCAAAATCCTTGTACACACTTGAATAATTTCTCTTTATCACAGACTACTGATGTCCCAAAAATCTTGCATATAACTTACAACTTTCATCTCTGGATGAAAGCGAAAGACTGAAAAATATGATTGAAAGAAGCTGAGAGGATAGGAAAATCAGAAGTATTTTCCCTCCAAAAAAAAAAGTCCCCCACCAACATGGATAAGAAACAGGGCATATTTCAAGGTCGTAGCACAACCAGGGACCCATCTGGGCAGAGCTGGTACCACTGGTGCCAGCCTGTAGCACTGAAACTTTGGAGTAAATGCCTTTTCTTCAGCTCGTACACACTGTTGTGGGGTTACAGAGCATGAGCTGCTCCCAGGCCTGATATTGGTGCCTTGCTCTTGCCCAGTGGTTGCTTGTACTGGGACAGCAGTACCCACCCCATGGGCAGATTTAACAGTCATCTCTCTCTCTCTCCCAGTTAAGAAGGGTTTGGGGAAGCAGGACGAGGTGTGTGTCATCGATGCACTGCTGGCCGACATCAGGAAAGGGTTCACACTGAGAAAGACAAAGAACAGGCACGAGTCGGATGCAATTCCTAAACCCTTGTCTGAGGAGAGCCCGGAGGAAAGCCAGTCTGGTAAGGGCACAGACCTGACTGTACTGCTGCTATTCATTCCCATCTGCCTCTGAGCCTGAGCCAAGCAAGCACCAGCAAGAAGCCTCTGCGTTTGCATTTGGGGCATTTTATTTAAGAAAGCTTTGCAGCCAGTGCTGAGGAGAAGAGGAGCAGAGAGCCTTGAGCTGTTGCCAGACAGATCTGTTCCAGTATTAGCAGGAAGTTGGAGCAGTATGGCCTTGCACCTGTGCTGATAAACCCTCTGAGATGCTTGACCCACATGTCAGCCACAGCACCATGCTGATGGGGCACTGGTGTTATCCCCACACAAGTCCCCTCCGTGCTGTTGAGTCTCAGTAGCACAGTGTGTCACTGCCTTGGAGTCTGCTGCACCCCATCTTAGTCTATGCTTGGGAATCTGAAGAAGCTCTTAAGAAAAGATTAGAAACCCTATTTGCAGAAGCACCCAAGTTCTTCAGGTGCTTGTGAGGAGACAGCCCCTGGGTTTAGCTTTTTCTTTGGTCTCTTGACCTCAGTGTCAGTGCACACTAGGTAAGTCCAAGGACATTGGTCTACCATAGAGCCCATGGCTTTCCTAGACCTGTTCTGCAAGGGCAGGATTAGACTGGTTAATGGGCAGCTCTGAAGTCCTCACACAGCCAAGCCAACAGTCCAACCTGGTTCAGGACCTTACAGGTTCTCTCTTCCTGCCATAGACCTTCAGGCCTCCTTGCAAGTCCAGGAGCTTCCATGGAAATCAGTCAGTTGGCAGCAAAATGCACCTGCTGAAAACAAAGCGGGGGCTTTGCTGAGCTGGAGCCTTGTAGTCCAGCCAGGGTGACCATGTGGGTATAAGGCGGGGAGAGGTACAGGGAGGATAAACTAGTGCTGCCTCTGCATAGCTACTTTAGGGTCAGTGCTCCCTCTGCAGGCAGCTGCTCACCTGTAACCTCTCCCAGTGGCAGAAGCATCTTGGTTGATCCCTGGCGCAACTCTGCAGCTGTGGCTGATTGCATGTTTTTTGTTTAAAGGAAAGAGCACTAAGGATCCACAAGCAGCAGGAAAGCAGATCAGTGATGAGACCAAACAAAACAAGGATGGTCATCCCTCAGAAAGCTCTCCCCCCTCAGCCACTGCCCTGACGGAGATGGGCGGAGGTGTTACAGATGCTTCACCTTCAAACCAGGTGTTACCTAAAAACAGCACTGGAGGAAGTTTGCCGTTTGACTCCCAGACCGAAAGTCCATCTGTGAGCTTGGTGGAAGCTGATGGGGCTGGTCAGCTCATGCCTGGCACTGGGATGGAGCAGACAGACAACTGGGCAAGCCTCCAGCCAAGCACAAAGGGCAGCTCCCTTGCCTTCTCTTTGGCTGACACAGGCTCAAGGATAAGCTTTGTGAGCAGCAGTTCAGCCACTGCTCTGAGAGACCAGCTCAGCTGGACTAATGGGTCCCTCTCAGAAGGCCAGGACAAGGAATGTCCATCTGATGGCTCAGAGAGCTACAGGCTGGCACAGGAGCCAGAACCCCAGCTGAGCAAGACCAGGACGGACCCCGGCAGCGCTCAGTCTGCTCCCTGCAATGAGGCTCATCAGGCAGAGTCAAAAGAGATGACAAAAGAAAATGAAGACCCTGGTACAGACTCGCTGTTGGACACCTCTCAGGAGAAGTCCTTCTCAGAGGAGCCAGCCACTGACTCCTCTTGTTCAGCAACACTTACTCCAGAGCAAACTCACACCGACAGGGAAAAGCAGAGGCCACCTGGGAAACGGAAGAAGAAGAAGAGGCACAGCAAAAGCTACTCAGGTAGCCTATGTCATAAATAGCCCTTGGGAACTGACTTAAGTGTGGGAGCCCTCCTCATGTATTTGTATATAGCTGTTCCTCCCCACTTCAAGGCCCAATGCCACCTGCCTCTAGAGCCACACTGTTTCGCAGAGCTTATTATTTTTTTAAACCTGAAAAACTCAAGCATAGTTCATTCGGGTGACATTTATAAGTAGTTTATAAACGGGTAATGATGAATCAATAATTAAAAAGCCCATTACACATACACAGTAAGGATGGCAATAAGCACATCTGTCAAGTGTGCTAAAGACAGCTACAAGGCATGGTTATGTGCAAACAAGAGCTCCATTAGGCTCCAGAGCAGTGATTAAGAGCAGTTAATACTCGGTACTTAATCAGCGATCACCCCCTCTGAACTACTTATAAACACATAAAGGCAGCAACATCAGTGCTGCCGTGGGGTTGTTTGGTTTTTCCCCTGCTAAGCCTCCTTGAAAGAGCACTTTGCCTGACAGCCTGCCCCAGGGGTACTTTAGGTAGCTCCTAAACATCAGGCCCTCAAACCATTACTGCAGGGTGAGGGGAAAAAGTCATTAAAAGTCATTAAAAAAGAGCATCTTGCTGATGCTTCTGCCCCCGAATTGGGCTGCTCTGCTGGTGTCGGGAGAGGGCTTGACTGCTGGAGCCACACAGGTCTCCACCTCACAGCAGAAGTCCACACCCAGTCCAAAAACTGGGAAGAATGTCCCAATCCTTTAGACTCTACCGAGCTGAAGCCACCTTTGGGTGGCTAATTAATCCCAAATTAGAGATGACTCATAGGGAAGACGTGGGTCTGTCAGCCTTTAGAAAGATAACAATATACTGTCCAAAATCTGTTTTCTGCAAGATCCTGGGGTCAAACAAATGGGCGGGAAAGTGGGAAAGTCTCTTTTTATCAACATTTAATGTTTTTCCTTCCAAGGAAAATGGAAGAGAAAGGAAAGGAGGGTTTGAGCATCCATTTCTGAGAAAGACAGCATGGGTTGAGCAGCGACCACAGAGGGACTTACCCTTTTAATGCAGCATGCCCCAAGGCTGTAGTTATCTACCTTTCTAAACCTGCCTCTTTCCCCTAGTTAAAAACAAGCCACAAAAGAGAAGTGGTTTCCTAGAACAGTGGTATCCAAACTTGCTTCCCAGGAGGCGGGAGCTGCAGCAATGGGAGCATCCCATACTCCCAGACCTGGTGATGTTTTCCTGACACCTGAAATTAGTACTTCTAGCTTAAGAACTGACCCCATCCTGCAAAAGCTACAGGGTTCCCTGGGGCATCCAGGGATGGCATCAGAGGGGTTGGAACCAGATTATCTTTAAAGTCCCTCGCAACACAAACCATTCAATGATTCCATGTTCCTGGGAACGTCTCTGCTATTAGACAGCATTTTCATCATCAAAAGTTCCCTGTTGTTACCTTTGCCTTGCCATGATCAGATATATTTAGTGTCTCTCTTTTGTTTAAAAGCAGAGGTTGAGAGTGATACTGGAGATAATAAAACAAAAAAAGGTTGTGTGACACAATGAGGTATGTAAACTCACAAAGGTGTTTTTGTGTGAACTAACCACAGCATTGGGACTTCACAGACCTAATCAGTATTCAGCATATCAGCTAAGCTTTTTGTCTTTGTGTCTAATCATGAATACATGTGAAATAAATTTGTTACTCTGATTTTTACTCTCCAGGGTGTTGATCTTGCATTGAGTGGAGTCAGTGCTGACCTCCCTTCAACACAAGATCACAGCCCCCATGTTCATCCTCTGTGTCAGCAGCAGCCAAACTGCCTTTCCCTGCAAATAAAAGTCTAGAATAATTATTCTAACCAAATAATCAAACTTCACATGATGAACAAAGTCCTTTCTTTGATCCCATTATTTTCTCAAAAACTGTAAAAATGCAATTTCAGTACCTACCTCCAGCAAAGAATGGTTGTTTTGCTTGTGGGTAACCACTTTCTGTAACACCATTTAAATATGGGTATCTGGAAAAGGGGATAAAACACTGGACTCAGGAACAAGTACTTGTTGGAGCAAGATACCAGCTCCCACTCAAAGCTAATTTCGACTCCAGAGTTGCACACAAGTTCCCTGCATCCTCCACTGATGCTGGCAACATATGGTTGCCCCTCAAAAGCAGTTTCAGGATGAGACTCTCCCTTGCAAAACTTTGTTTTTACAGCAAGTGGAAAGAAAAGCAAGAAAAAGAAACAACCAAAACACCCACTGTACTGAAATTGCATAGTTACGCATTGCCCTTTCCATGCTGATGAGCATCTCTTATGAACTAAATCAATATTGTCAAATTGCTCTTTGTCTCATTTCCTCAAAGGAATGTATTTATTCTCCAGCATGCCCAGTTCCCTGGGGCTGGGAGCCCAGCTGGGAGCCTTGCTCCCACACAGCCCATCAGCCCCAGCCCCTGGGATGGCAGAACAGAGGAATCTGTGCAGGATTTCCCCACAGGACTGCTTTTGTTCCTGCACCTGGATTATCATTTCTAGCAGAAGAAAATGGGATACGCGTTGGGTAGTTACAGTCCTGACTACTCCTGCCCTCCTCTTGGCCCTTTCTGTGCAGTACCACAGGATCACATTAAGTGGAAGTAGCTCTGTGGGTTTAAAAATCCTAACGAAGATTTACTGCAGGAGCAGTCAAATAGTAGCAGTGAAGCATAGGTGGGAAGTACATCAGGACCAGTAGTCATGCTGCACTGGGAGGGCAGCTGGAACTGTGAGTTAAGCTTATTAATACATATTATAATTATATGTCTTAATACATAATACAAATTATGTATCTTTTCAAGCTCTGGGGTTCCAGCATGCAGGCTTAAAAACATAGTCTTTGAAAAATTAAAAAAAAAAAGAAAAAGAATTAAAAAACACAGACAGCTTTGCTTTGCCCTAAAGAAGACATAGGAATGCAACACAGAGGAAGGCTTGGACAAACAGTGCCTTTATGAAGTGGCCAAGTGAGGCAGGAGTTTCAATGCATCCTTGGAATGCAGTACCTGGCATCACACCAGGAGTATCTACATGGGCTTCAATGCCAAGAGGGCAGAAATGAGCTGCACCTTGAAATCTACAATTCTCTTTTTCCACTCCTCCTATCTCTATGTCACACAGCAAGGTCAGCAGGAAAAAAAAAATCATTTCCTTCTCTTTGTCTCCCACCACAGTGCTTCCTCTCCCAAATGCAGATCAGGTCCATCCCTCTTCATATGACAGACTCAGCAAGCCTGGAGTGCTCCCATTCAATCTTTTTGACTAGGTTGTTCCACCTGACTTTTTTTATTTTATTCTATGCTTTGGCACAAGCACACCTGATCTGTTCAAGTCACCATCTTGGTACAAGATATTGCAGATACTGAGTTCTGACCTCACCTTGACTATATCTTGTTATGCAAAAATTTCTGTGGTAATGTTGATGTTCCTTAAATGTCAGCTTTTTCACCCAAAGATTAGTATCCCACATTATCTTCATATTCCTGAAAGAAACAGTTTAGTTGGATTTCCTCTGAAATCAATGTACAGGTGGGTATACTGTGTTTGTGTGCACACTGGTAACATCTGAACTCATTTCCAACCAAATTCAGAAAGAGCTGGAAGAAGGACCAATTAACAAAGGTGATAGTCAAACAGAACAGAGACTGTAACAATGCCTGAACTCAGGAGAGCTGCTGTTTAAGTTTCCTTGCTTAGACTCTGGAGAATTCCTACTGACAAATGCTCTTGTCTGTTTGTGCAGCTTCCCTATTCCTCTCCTCCCATCTGTATGTTACTCGGAAAAGTTAGGAGAAAGAAAAGCCTTGAAAACATAAGTCCATAAGCAACTGGGCTTTGGCAATTTCCCTGCTCACAAATCTACTTGATTTATTCCCTAGAAAATAAAAGAAAAACCAAATCAGGAGCACAGGCCAGCACTCAGAGACTGCAGCTTGGTGAGGAGGGAGGGAAGGGGCAGAAGGGCAGCTTTGACATGCACATGGCACAGCAGCACATCAACCCTTGCAAAGAGACAGAAGTGTTTGAGAGTCAAGGTTTTTCTTTAATTCTAGAGGAACAAATGCTTCACCTCCCATTCTGCAGACCCAGTATTGTCTGTGAGCAGTTTTTAAATGGACCACAAGAATGTCATCCTGTTTGGCCTTTGCCTTCGTGTCTGCCATTAGAAATGGTATTTGGTTTGGTTATGGAGTAAGACAGGCTCTTAAAAGTGTCAGTGTGCTGCCCCAGCCTTCTGACAGTCCTGCTAAATCCTCTGGATTTAGTAAGTTCAGCAATTTAATATCTAGAAAAATATATGTTGTTGGACTGAACTAGTACCCAGTTTGAAAGCAAAGTTGCCCAAACTCTTGAGCATTAGGATTGGTTCTGGAAACATGAGGTTTTTATTAAATACATAAAATTCTACCTGTTTTTAGGTTATCTGAAGAACAAATGAAACTGGTTTCCCTAGTAGTGCCCCGTTAGATACACATGCATGCAAAAACACACTTCTGTTCATAGTTCCAAATAATTTGCGTTTCCCCCTCCTCCTGCAGGTGTCACAGCAAGGCAGAAGGTATAAGAGGGACCAAGTGAACCACTCTCATGTCCCTGGAGTGCTGCCAGCTTGTCAGAAACGAGGTTCTGCATCAACGAAATGCCACCATGGACACCTTCTGCCCCACCTAGATGCACCACTTCTCCTCCTGCAGCCTTTCCCTCCCCTCCCGAGGACCTAAAGAGCCTCCTCAGAGACTTTGGACCCCTCAGCCCATGCCTTACACTAGGCATCTGGGAAATGGGGGACAGTTCTGCACATGGCAGCAGTGAAAGGGTCAGACCTGTCATCCACCATCCTGGAAGCTGAGTCTTTCAACCTGCTCTTAGGCCAAACTCTTCTTGAAATGACAGCTGAGTGTGGCCTAAGAACGGACTGCAGTGTTTAGCCCTCAGAGAAACGTTAAAAATAGCAGTGCCTCAACTAAATTAAGGGTATAAATTAAGCAGTGGCTGTACCACCACAGGTGGAAGTGTGTTAACTCCCTCCTCTCATCGCCCACTGACGATTTATATTGGATCAGGTCCAAGACCCAGATGAGACAAATGTATTTTTACTCTCAGTCATTTAAAGCAAGGGAAATCAGTTACAGGGAGAAAAAAAAACATGTAAAAGAAAAAAGATATGTTTTAGTAGGCATATGGCCATCTAAACAGTGTCTGGTTCCTACATGATACTTATGTGCAATTAAGTTGAAGCACGTCAGTAGTCTTAAGTAGTCTTGTCACACACACTGATGTGTCCATCAACTTTTGGAGAACCAGGGGCCTAGTTTCTCTTATTAAAGCAACAGGAAGATGTTTTCCAGAGTGCTCTGCCAGACACATTTTCAGCTTATCCCTTAGTAAATCTCTGGGTTTGACTTCTGTTGTCAGCTGCTTGCACTCAAGAGTCTATGTCCAAACTGCAGAACATTTTGAGTCATGTTACTTTGGCTTTAAAACTGGGACTGTGCAGTATTGTGTTTTCAAAATACAGAGCTTTATTTCTCAAGTTTTGTAATAACACTGTATCATAGTTTTGTACATATCTGTCCATTTTAAATGATCTATGTTTGTTGAACTATAGTGTGATACTGTGCTGAAACATGAATCAAGTGGAAGAGCTCGGTACATTTCAGAACTATTCTTTTATATTGCAACTCACTGTGGCTAGACTAATGTGCAGGCTTTGCTCAATAGGACTTGTAATGTCCTTGTAACGCTGGAAACTTAGAAATGAAACCAAGAATTAAATGACTGATTTGCTTTAACCAAAGCATCGCTATGAGCATACTGAGAATTGGTCAACAAAAGCAGAGATGAATTGGGAGCAGACACATGGGCAGATTCAGTGCAGGAGAACCTGCAGAGCAGCACAACCCCATTGCAGCAGAAAACCCACTCCTGCTGGCAGAAACAGGCATACTCCCACTATTCCCTGCAGAACCATGGCACTCACTCCAGGTTTGACTTGCAGGATTGTCTCCATCACATTTACACGTTTCCACTTTTTTCCCCTCTTTTCCAGTCTCAGAGCACATCACTCAAGCATCATCCTTTTGCTCTTCAATCTAGCTCCTCTGCTCTCAGACTAGACCCCAGGCTACAAAAATCTGAGTATGAAATGCATTTTCCCAGCAGCTTTGCAACCTCCAGGTTTCCAGCAAGAGCCTGCAGCCCAGGCTAGCAGTGCATAGCCAGCCTCCTCCTCACCACCCCACTGGTTTATCAAACAGGAACAACATCATTTGGAGATGCAGGACTGGGGAACAAACAGATTTTTGTGTAACAAAGAGGTTTTTAGTCTATGTAACAACACAGGTTTTCTGTGTTACCTAGGGAACCTTGCCTGCTGATGGACTCAAAAGCTGCTTGCTTCAGATGCTGCAGCATGTGTCCATTTCTCCACCTGGATCTTTCGGCTTCCCCCACCCATTTCCACTCAGAGAGAGCTACTCATTTCCACAGCCAGTTTTTATTGCTCTGTGTTCTTACCTTGGCCTTCAAAGAGAGAATGTTTGGCATTATTTTCCCACTGCTTTTAAGAGTTTACAGAGAAATGGGTAATTTTGAGCCACTGGAGGCTCTTTGTTCAACAGTCATCTGTGAAAACTGTATTAAATTATCTATTCAGTCACATCCCAATAAGCAGACTCAAGCACAGTATTTATAATTTATTACTCCAGAGCAGCTCTGCTTCCATTACAGTGGTTATTTAAGAAAAGCAGGGGAACAGAATCAGAGCAGGCCAAAGAGTGATGCTCAACTGAGATGTGCAGTTTTACTCCATTTGTGAGCTTGAAATAAAGCTCATAATCCTGAAGATTTTTCAGTGGTTGCAAGGCCAAATTAATTGCCCATAAAAGAAAAAATCGCTCATAGCTACTTTAACAGGACTGTGGTCATTTAAGCCAACAGTGAGTTTGGACCTCAAAAAAGAATTCTTGTGGTATATTACAACAACTGCACATGGACTCTAGTACATAAACCAGGCTGTGACCACCACAAGCTTCTTGCTGCCAAATAAATGCATATTCCTTAATTAAGCATTGGCTATGAGATAAAATGAAAGTATGAGAGGAATCAACAAAAGTCTTTTCCAAGTATTTGACATCAAAAATTAGATATGTTTAATGAAATGGATTTTCAGTGTTAGTTTTTGGGGACTTTTGGTTGTTCATTTGTTGTTTTTTTATTTCAATACTGAAAATATTTCAAAGTTAAGAATAAAATAAGTACTTGATGAGTTTCCTTTCTCTGGTGGGGATGGAGAAGACCTGTGATTCACAAGAATTTGTACATCTAAGTCCTATATTTCCCACACAGGATACAGAACATCTAAGCATGTAGTTCTTCTATATACTTAGTAATAATTACCAATTGTTTTGCTCTTCTGCCAGCTCACTCAGCGCTCTCAGGTGGATCCCATCTGGCCCCATAGACTTGTGAGTGTCTAAGTGGTGCAGCAGGTCACTAACTAATTACTCCTGGATTGCAGGGGTCTGTTCTGCTCTCTGTCCCTGTCTACCTGATTGCCCTGAAGATAACCAGTCTTAGTGTTAAAGACTGAGGCAAAGAAGGCATTGAGTACTTCAGCACTTTCCTCATCCATGGTGATAGTGTTCCCCTCCACATCTTATAAAGGGTGCAGTTTTTCCTTGGCCCTCTCTTGTTGTTGATGTATTTATAAAAGCACTTTTTTATTATTTTTCACAGCAGTATAGCCAGATTGAGTTCTAGCTGAGCTTTTACCTTTCTAATTTTCTCTCTACATGACATCACCATCTCTGGAAGTGTTTAAGAAGGGACTCAGTGTGACACTTAGTGCTATGGTTTAGCTGACATGGTGTTTGGTCAAAGGGTGGACTCAATGATCTTGGAGGTCTTCTCCAACCTTAATGATTCTGTGAAACAGAGACATATAAATGGAGCACCACCACAGCATTGGACTGTACTTAGAGCATGGCTGAATTCTCAAAGCTATGCCAGTATCTTTTGGGTTGAGCATACCATTTAGTCCTCTCCTACGTTCTGTAGAGCAGAAGGGGCTGAGAAACACCCTCTGTTCCAGTTAGAAAGAGAGAAGATAAATTTAAATAAAAGAAAAATGCATAAGTTAAATTAACCAGTTTTCATTCTGTCTAAACATCAAGCCTGGATCTATGGCATCATATTGCTGTTGTACACAGTGGTCAACCAAGTGCAATGTACAAATTTACCAATGCTAAACATTAGCACTGTACAAACCCTAGCTCTCTCTGTCTGTGTGGTAACAGTCATTGCCACAAAATATGGGTGAATGTGTTAGTCCACATAATGTATCTGAAAGCAAATACAGTCATGAAACAGCTCCATCACAAACCACATTTTGTTTGGTCACCTCACAACCAAGCTGTGGGCAGGATGTGATAAACAGCTTTCCCATGTCTAGAAGCATAACTACAGAGGGTTAAAAATGGGGCAGAGATAGTGACAGGACCTCTCTAGGTGTTCACAATTACTGTATAGTGACAATCTTGCAAAATAACCACATGATTTGCAGGATTTGCAATGGAAATTAGGTCCATAGTACAGCAAAAGGTCTCCAAGTCCTTAGCTCAGAGCAGGTACCAGACCTTAAATTAGCAGCAGAGATTTTGATCACTGGCAGTTATTCAACATATTCAGCACCGTGAGTAACTCAGCCCTTCATCCGTGCTGTGCTGGCACTTAATTCACATTAGGGACTCTCTAATGCTCACTTTGGTGCAGCATAAACAGCTCCTGCAAGAACTGTGTGTGACAATTCATACAGAGCCAGATGTCGGTAGGAATTAGCAGGAGCCCTGCGCTTCCTTAATGGAGACTTTAAGCAGGCTCAGCTTGCATTACTCAAAGTCAGAAGACAAGAATCACTCTGTGGCAGTCAGCTCCTATCAAGTCAGTTTAGATACATGCCCAGCCTGTCAAAGTAGGGGTTTTTTTCTAGGATCAGCAGTCCTCACTGATGACACCTACATTACAGTTATGGTTGATTTGCCCTGCTCTGGGCATGCAGAACTTGATGTGTTTGTTTAGTACTTATGCAGCTTCATACAGCATAATCTGCTATGAGTTTACTCATGAATTGGTGACAATTAATTACCAAATCCATCAGTCAGAATAGATGGAGAAAGAGGAGAAGCAGAGGCAGCACATGCAAAAAGCTCTACAACGTCTGGGTTCTTTCAAACCTTTGAAACCCACTACTCAATTTTGTAACCTAAATGAAACCCCCAATAGCACACAAAGGAGTGATCCTTTGGGACCAACAGGTTTTTCTATACATTTCACCACGTTTTTTAATCTCCATTCTTTCAGGTTTTCACAGCTCAAGGTTTTCACAGACCATACCAGCAGTCTACAAATCCATCCTGAATCACAAATGTAGTGGGTTTCTGTGGGTGGGTTTTGGTAGCGGGGGGGGGGGGGGGGGGGGGGGGGGGGGTGGCTGAGGGCTACAGGAGTGGCTTCTGTTAGAAGCTTCTCCTGTCCCATGGAGCCAATGCCAGACAGCTCCAGGACGGACTTCCTGCCACTGGCCAAGGCCGAGGCAATTAGGAGTGATAGTAATGCCTCTGTGATAACATATTTAGGAAAAGAAGGTTGTTGCACAGAAAGAATTCCAGCCAAGGAAGAGCAGAGTGAGAACAACAAAGTAGACCCCAAGGTCAGTGCAGAAGGAGGGGCAGGAGGTGCTCCAGGCACTGGAGCTGTGGCCCTGCAGCCCCTGGTGCAGATCATGGTGGAGCAGCTGTGCCCCTGCAGCCCATGGGGGAGCCCATGCTGGAACAGGTGGATGCAGGAAGGAGATTGTGACCCCATGGGAGGCCCAAGATGGATCAGGGTCCTGCTGGAGACCTGCAGCCCATGGAGAGGGAAGCCCGTGCTGGAGCAGGTTTTTCCCGGGTAGGACTTGTGGCCCCTGTGGGGGACCCACATCAGTACAGCTCACCTGTGAAGGACTGCACCCCATGGAGGAGTGACCCACGGGATAGCAGTTTGGGAAGAACTGCTGCCCAAGGGATGGACTCACATTGGAGAGGTCCATCAAGGACTGTCTCCTGTGGGAGGGACCACACAGAAGCAGGGGAAGGACTCCTCCCTCTGAGCAGTGGCAGAAACAACAACTGATGGTAACCCCCAATTACAGGCATTCCCCGTCCCCCTGCACCGCTGGGGGGGAGGAGGGAGAACATGGAAGGACGGAGGGGTGGGGGGAAGGTGTTTTTTTATAGACTGATTTATTTCTCACTCATTGGCTCTTATCCTGTTAGTAATAAGTTTAAGTATTATCCTGTTTTGCCCATGAAGGTAATCAGTCACTGAGTTCTCCCAGCTCTTATCTCAACTCATGAATCCTTAGCTGTTTAGTTTTTTTTCTCTCTCCTCTGTCCAGTTGCAGAGGGAGAGTGAGAGAGTGGCTTTAGTGGGTACCTGGTATCCAGCCAGGGTCAACCCACTACAGTCTTTTTAGTGGCCCAAATGGGGAAGTCATGAGGATTTTGAGATAAGGATAGTGACTGGGAGAGGTAATGGGCAAAATAAATACTGAACAATATTAGGGAATTAAATGATCGTGGGGAATTTTTGGTGTAATTATGGTAAAGGTAGAAGGGGTGAATTTTCTGTAAATTGTCCACTGTGTTATGATGATGTTATTTTGATTTTTTGTGGGGGGAATTTTCGTTATATTCTGTTTTGGTTGGTTGTTATCTTTGTTTATGTAAGGGAGGGTTGTGTGATGAATGTGGAATTTAAAATTCTTAAATGTGGGATTCACAGAGGCAGGGGTGGAAGCTGGGAGAGGTTGTGTTGGGTCTGGCTGAGCTGGAGTTTGTTTCCCCACAGTAGCCCTCACAGTGCTGTGCTTTGCATTGGCAGCCAGAAGGGTGTTGATTACACACCGTTGTTTTGGCTACTGCTGAGCACAGCATCAGCACTGTAACATTCCTCCTTCAGTTGAGAGCAAGATCCTGGGAGGGGACCCAAGTAGGCCAGCTGACCCAAACTGACCAAAGGGATATTCCATACCATATGACATCAGCTCAGATAGAAAAGCTGAAGCAAGGAGCAGGAAGGCGGGCATTGATTGTTTCCAGTGGCTGCCTGCTGAGAAACTCACGCATGCTGAAGCCCTGCTGCTCAGGAGTGGCCAACCATCGCTGCTCACGGGAAGCAGAGAATAAACCCTGCTATCTTTCGCTTTTGTGCAAGCAAGCTCCACTTTACTTTTTGCTTTAAATAAACTGCCTTATCCCTACCCACCTTACTCTCTCTCCTGTCCGGCTGGGAAGGGGAGTAATAAAGCAGCTGGGTGGGCACTTGGCGTCCAGTCAAGGTCAACCTACCACAACAGACAAATGGTTTGTTTTTCTAAAAATATCTCTTTAACTGAAGAGACCCCAGGGAGAACAGAACAGAAGGGGGGGTTCTCCCTTCAAGTATTTTCAACTGTTTTACTTTGCTTTTAGAAACCTGGACCCTGACCTCCACAAGGCATGTTCTGTGGTACTTACAGCTGCCTGCAAAGGCCTGAGTGCAAACCACAGCACAACTGCATGTAGATGAAATGGCAGCCACCACGGTAATCTCTTCCCAACCATGACCTATCTCAAACCTAGCAAATATCCAGAGATTAAAGCTATTATATCCTGTCTCTAATTCCTTCAGCTATACAAGCCCAAATTGAAGTAACTCTTAAAATTCCTTTCCATTTTGAGGACTTTTTCCCTAGCCTCTATAAACTGATCCTACGACACACCTTCTCCCAGCCTCCTACCTTTCACAGTTGATCTCCATACTTCACGTACACCTTCACATGGTTCCTTGGTAGAACTGCCTCACTGTTTTGCTGCAGGGCACAGAGACCAGCAAAGGGATCTTAGCAGCACTGTCCCCCACATCTGCCACCCACTGCTGCTGCTGCTGGCCCAGGCTCCACCTGCAGCAGATACCAAGGCTCTTGCCATCCCAGCAGCTGCCAAAAAGTGGAGCCAGTTGCCTTAGAGGGCTTTTTCATTAACTCCATCACTAGGATCGAGCCCACAGGCATTAAGCACACAGCCATACTCCTGCCTGCAGCAGGAACAGTTACAGAGTGAGAAGTGAGTGCTTTCACTTTGTTTCCAACCTTTTCCAACTGCTTCCAGTTTTCTGATATGAGAAAATGAAGGTACAGCAGTAGCTGGATCTTAATAAGGGAGAGGTGGATTGTAAAGACTAAACAG